ATTAAGACAGACTTGAGGGTATCTGATATAGTCTCAAATCAATTTTTTTCAAATGCAGGAGCACCAAACGGTGTAGATTCTATTGAAAACTCTCCCAAAGAGGATGGAAATGAGATCGACTTTAGAAATGAGTCTTCAGAGCAATGTTACTGTTGATAATTCGCAACAAAACCAAGAATGTTTTGTTGTGCAGGACGAAGCAGGTGTTCTATGTATATATAAAATTCAAAATAATTAAATGCAATTGAGAGTGATAATTATATTAAATAGAATTTTTCAATAATGAAAGAATAAGATGGAATTGTAGCATTTTGTACATTCATTTTAGATACTTAGTTATAAAAGATTTACTTGCCTTAAACTGTTGTCAAATGTGGAAGACCTACAGGTGCTTCTCATACAACAATAGGTCTTCCTAAAAAACGTCTTTGTCGGTCTTCTGATGTGCCAGTTTTTTTTTAAAACTTGAACTGGCTAAAAGGCATGGTAAAAGTATCGTTTTAAATTTAAAGCTAATAAGTAATAAATTATTTTTAAAGTTTTTTTAATTTATATAAGGGCTCAACCAGAAAGTGTCTAACTAATAAACAGTAGTAAAAGATTTTTTTCTAGTATTAATATTTCTTTTCTTGCACAATTTTAAATTTAAATGTTGATGATCACTGAGCAAAAATGGAAATGATCTCCTATCTATATTAAAACGTCAAATTCAACATGACATACTTTATACGTGACCACTTAATGAAAATTAATGTTTCAATTAATTTTTTTATTAATAGATGGTTTTGCATCATACGTTATTTAAATCACTTTGTTATAGTAATGCTTAGTTGGTTTTTACAAGTTGACGACGTACAGAAAGCTCTTTCTGGTACTCTTATGAATAAGAGTGCTGTAGAAACAAGATCGAATTGTATTTCTTCATCTATACATGATGAAAGTGCATTAGAGTTGGTTTCTTCATTGCAAATATACTTTAGCTCGGATGCATGAAAAGTACTTGAAAAGTAATCAAGGTTAAATCAACATACCTGGCCATGTGCTGTATGTCTGAAGAGCACAAGCGAAGGAATAAAAACTGGTATTGCAATAATACGTGATTCATGCTTGTAGTAAAAAATGAGTTGAACAAAAAGAGAATTCCTTTGTAAAAGCAAGGTGTTGGTTTTCAGTTTTAAGACTTTCAAAATAAAAAATAAACTTTCTTATAATATTGAAATAGCCATACTATATTATAAAAACTAAACTTTTCATAATTTTTTAAAAATAATTTTACAGATATAGCCCATATACGCGCGTCGGAGCGTGACATCGATTTTTAAGGCCGTGACGCTCTTAAATTTGCAATAACTTGTGAAATAGATAGTAAACAATAAATAAATAATTATCCTACTCAATGCAACTAAGGCAAAGAACAAACAAACTCGTAAAAAAAGAAGCTTTATAAAAATCCTATAAATTGATAGTGCTACGGTAGCATTCGGAAAATTTTTGTTAATTAATTTATGAAAATGAATAAACTCGTTATTAATTGAGTATTTAAATAAATAAACGAAGTGTTATTTTAGAGGAGATGTAATTACAAAAATCTTTTTTAACATTATTTGTGAATCTAATATAATATATATAATATATATATATAATATATATCTATATCTATATCTATATATATATATATATATATATATATATATATATATATATATATATATATATATATATATATATATATATATATATATATATATATATATATATATATATATATATTGTTATCTTGTAGTTTTTTTTCATAATAGAGACTTAATTAAACGTTTTAATAAGAAATATCTGTATGTGATATATTTATACCATTGTTTGTTAATTGATAATTAAAAGATAATTGATATCATTGTTTTTATAATTTCTTTATATAAAAAAATTTAGTTATTTGATTTATTAAAGTGCGAAATTTGTATAGACGCAGTTCTGTTTTATTAAAATTGAGATATAATTTTTAGTTTTGGTGTTGAAAAAATCAATTTAAATTGTAAGTAAGTTCATAATTGACTTATATAAATATTTTTCATAAATTTAAAACTCAATGTTTCATATTTTTAGTGAAATTGCACATGGAAAATTTTAAAATGACCAAGGTTTTTAAATGAAAAAGGTTTAATTAAATCATATGAGGAATTCGGGTTATTTAATAGAGAAATTGGACGAAAAAGTAGACGATCTGAAAAGGTAATTAGAATTTTTTTATAGCTTGGGTCAGTATATGGCGTCAATCAAAAAATACGTAAAAACTACAAGATAACGAAAAGGAACGAGGAACAAATTCGACAATTAGCGAAAAAACAAAAGTTAACTGCGAGTCAAATCATATCGGAATTAAGTTTGACAATCACTCTTAAGCGTGTTAAACAAATATTGTCAAGATCTGATAATATAAAATGGCGAAAACCACTAAAAAAACCATGTTTAAAGCAAATACACAAAGAAGCACGACTTGAATTCGCCAGAAAATATATGGATTTTGGAGAAAAGTGGAAATATGTCGTATTTTCTGACGAAAAGAATTTAATCTTGATGGACCAGATGGTTTTAGCTATTACTGGCATGATTTGCGAAAAACAATGCACCTCGTTTGTCACGCAATTTTGGTGGTGGATCACTAATGACATGGGTAGCATTTTGTATCAATGGAAAGACACCGATATGTTTTATATCGACAAAAATGAAATCCATTAATTATACAGATTTATTGAATGTCTTAATCGATATATATATATATATATATATATATATATATATATATATATATATATATATATATATATATATATATATATATATATATATATATATATATATATATATATGAAAATACAATATATATGAATATGTGTATATATATATATGTATATATATATATATATATATATATAAATATATGATTTATATAATATATATATATATATATACATAAATATATATATATATATATTATAAATATATATATATATATATTTATATATTTACTTATTTTTATTTATATATATCTACTATAGCATATTTATATGCGCAATTGCTCACTTTTTTTTCTCGCCTAAATTAAGTGAGCATCGTGAGAAAACGATGAGGGAAAACGAAGAATAATAAGTGAAAAGGTTGCTGAACCATACCAAACCCTCAGTTGAATAGTATATTTTCCTTTGGAGTCTCTCTCTTTCATATTTAACTTTACTTTTTTTATTGTTGGTTCAGCAGGTACACTAATATCTGTTGTATGTATTTTCTTTTTACATCTTATTATAATTGTATTTCCCTGGCCTATATATCTAAAAAAACTTAAGTCAACACATTCATTTAATAGAAACTGTTTCACTATTTCACCTCTATTTTTACTCCATTACTGTTAATGACACTGTATTTTTGAGCTAGTTCAGTAAAAGTAATTTTTGCGCCAGACGCATAAGAGATTATTTCCCTCCAACAATCGTTTTCATTCCATTTATTTTTGTAGTTTCCAGTATGATTTTTTTTTTTATTGACTTTTATTTTATTACGAATTGTTGAATCTGCAAACGATTCATAGCTTTGATTCATACGTATTTTTTTACCCTTCCGCAAAGATATCTCACTCCCAAATGCTATATAAATTAAGTCAATTTGATTCTATAAAACATTTTAAATGAAACTAAATTTAATCTTTTTTCAAAATAATGTACCTTACAACTGATGTTTCTTCAAAGCATTTTTCAACACTGCATTAGAATAATCTTGCATGGGAATTTCGTTTTTTTTTTTTTTTTTTTTTTGTGTGTTTGTTCTTGATGGTTTCTGAATTAACTTTAAATCGGCTATGAGGTGTATTGCATTTTTTATTGACATAAAAGAGTAAATGTTTTTGAATTTCTTATCAGCTTTTCTCAATAAAGAACTTACACATTTTAGTAAATTTTCTTTGTTTTAAATTTCATTGAACAAGAGATAACTAGCTTTTTTTTTTGTAAAGTTTGGTATTACTTGGGATTATAGACAATATATCTCCATAAAGTTAAACACATTTTAGGCAGTTGGGGAGCCTATGTAGACTTTTTTCATTAGAACTGAGTTTATTTTATGCCTTTAAAGAGAATGTGTCGATCAATTTCTTTTAATTTGCACTATGTTGCTGAGACAGATAGCATATTTTTGCTATAATTTTAGGAAAATTTCGACGATGGATGTCATGAGGGACAGCAAATTTATTTTTTTGACAGCCGAGTATAGAATTATAATGATCAATTCTTCGGTGTAATGAAAACTTTGACATAAGCAGGTTATATACGATTACTTTAACGTAACCACATGATAATGGGATCTATCATAGACATAGTAATGATCTATAATAAAATTAAAGGAGTAGAGATTATTATTTTTTTTTAACAACTAACATTTTACAGTCAGTACATGTAACTACTTTACTAAATCAATTAAAAAAATTGTATAGAGTTTTCTGCTGTTTTGAAAATGAAACTAGCTAGAATAATGTTTTTAAAGTTTACCGCAATAAAGGAAAATATTATTTTTTAAGATGGCCAAATAAGTCCGAATATTTTAAAATGTGATAGTTAATACCGACAACAGTTTTTTGAATGGGGATAAAAGATGTATTCTTTTAAGTAAAAACGACTACTGTATAAAGAACTGCAATACCATGATGAATCTAAATCTAACGTGACAATGTTGTTAAAATTACTCACTAAGGTGTGGTATTGAAAATAATAATTTCAACTGCTATTAAAAAAACGGGTTTTAATAGATATTCACCCCAAAAATAGTCTGATCATAAATGTCACGTCATATAAGGTGAAAATGAACACCGATACGTGCTTTTACGAAAATATTGATTTCAAAGACTCATCTATAGCCAAGCCTCATGGTATTTTGTGTTAAAGTTTTTATTTTTTCTAAAGTGAACTGCGCTTGCCAGTTTAATAGAATTGCGTTTCTATTACTAGATTATGATATACGTACGCCGATATCCGCGTTTTACGGAACCGATAAATGTGCTAAAATTCTGTGCCACGCTTTTTGAACTTCGCATTTAGAGAGGTAGATTGTGCTGTGTTTTGTCGCCTTATTTTTTATAATTTCATATTAACATAAATATTTTTTAGAAACTAGAATGATTATACTTTAAGAATTTGTGTTCTTTGATTACTATTACGTACTTTATAAGTTGATTTCTTGACATGCAAAACTTTGTTAACTTTGCACATCCAGCAAATATCGAAGATATGGACAGCAATTGAGATTGTTTCGCAGCCATTTAAGTTTTCCCATTTTTTATTTGTCTGCCAAATTTCGTTGAAAAAAAATGGGGCATAAACAGTCTATTTTGGGGCCCACTTTCGATACCTATTTTCCTTAATCTGAAATTTTTTGCGGGCGATCGGGGGGTGCAAAAAAATCGAATTCTTTAACTTTAAAAAAAAATAAAACTTTTTTGTAAATTTTTTATTTTTACTAATTTTTACTTTTTTTAGATAAAATGAGTGAAGAGATAAATTGTAAGATTACCAAAACTTTTATTTTCATTTTCCAATTAATTTATTAGTTATCTTTTATGCAAATAGTATCACTATTTACTTAGATATAATAATACTTAGTAATGCTAAGACTTTCTAATCTTTGTCTAATCTAATAACAGTATTTCTGAGTAATTGTATTGTTTATTTAGTAAGAAGTACATAATGGTAGAAATTTATCTTTTTGTGTATGATTCTATGTATCAAAGTCAGAATTTATATCAATAAATATTGATATAATAATACTATTAGTACTATTAGTATTATTATTATTATTAGTATTATTATTATTATTATATATATATATATATGTATATATATATATATATATATATATATATATATATATATATATATATATAAATATATATATATATATATATATATATATATATATATATATATATATATAGGTCTTTATATATATATGTATATATTTATATATATATATGTATATATATATATATATATATATATATATATATATATAATATATATATATATATATATATATATATATATATATATATATACATATATATATAACTTTTGTTTAAATAAAACTGATATAAATTGTTTGAAATAGTTCCTTTGTTATGATTGTTTAGATGCACAAGCTATTGAAAGCTTATATGAAAAATTAAGTTAGTAATTCAATTTTGTTATTTTGTTATTATTTATTTAATTATTTAGTTAGTAATTCTCATTTATTGAATCTATTTTATTTTTAATTCTATTTTTATTAAAACTGTGTTGTTATTTTATTTATTATGTTTTTATATAATCTTGGAATAATATAAAATTCTAGCAATGTAAATCACAATAAAAATAAAATATAACTGTAATGAACTAACAAAAGTAAAAATAAAAACCATTATTATAGTTATAACTTTTTTTTTAAGTTATTTGTTCGCAATTGGTTATTTTTGTTTTTTTAGACACTATGGAGAATACAATAAGTATGCATTTTATTGTATCGTCTAATACTTTGTTTAAAATAAATTATTGTTTTTCAATCTCAGATTTATTTACTATTAGTTATTTATTTTTTAGACAATTTAGTTAACGCTTGTATGTAAATTTTGTTTTTGGATTTAAAAAATTTAATATGCAATTTATGTATAAGACCAATTTCGAATATATAGATTGTGTATATGAAGCAAAAACTTGAAAATTGTATTACTAATTTTTTTTATAAATAGGTTTATAATAATTGTTGATCTTTAGTGAAACCTTCATCAAGTTCCTCAAGTAAGATTTTCTCTTTTCAGGTTTTATAATAATAATAAATTATAAAAATTTTTCTTTTAGGATTGTCAATTCAGATGAGAATATCCAATTATTTAAAATAGTAAATTTTAAAAAACAAAGTTTATTTTATGATATTTTCCTTTTGTTTAGTGATTGTCCCAGCTACAACTACAGGTATCGTTAATTTGCTATTCAGGCTTGAAACTCAAAAATATATAAGTTCAATATGTCATTTAGGTTTACCTAATAATCTTAATTGTTATCTTTAGCTGTATCTCCAAATTCCAACACTGGTATGATTATATATTAGAATTATTTAAAGTTATTTAGTTTTAACTTATTATTTTATCTTCTTTTAAATTTTTAGTTGTTGCTTCAATTTTTAACATAGGTGAGGTAACCTGTAATGTTTTAAAATGTTTGGTTTTTAAATTTATAAAAAATTTGAAATTTAAAGTTATAAAATTTTATTGTGATATTCAAATTTTTTTGTGATATTCAAATTTTGTGATATTCAAATTTTTGTGAATTTCAAATTTTATTGTGATATTCAAATTTATATTTTTTATATTCAGCAGGCTCTTCAGTTGACAATTCTGGTAAGCATATTATTCTAATTATGTAAAAAAATGAATAGATAGAAAAGAAATTTAGTTTATGTTCTCTCTTTTTAATGTTTAGGGGTTAAATCTGCAGAAATCACAGGTATTGTTACTTTTCTATAAAATACATAAGTATATATAGTTTGATAATAATATATATATATTAGAATATGTTCTTTATTTTTACATAATATTTTTATTTGTTATTTTAACTGCAGCTCAAGATACCCAGACTGGTATAAATAAATATATTAATTAATTTGAAGTTATAAAATTTTATTGTGACGTTCATATATTTTATATAATTTGTCATTTTTATATTCAACAGGGTCTTCAGTTGTCAATTCTGGTAAGTATATTTATCTGATTTTTTGAAAAATGTGAAATGTAAAAATAATCTTGCTTTATCTCCTCATTTTTGATTTTTGAGATAAAACGATTCAAAAAAGATAGACTTTAGAAAATGGCATATAAAATTTTTATTTATAACTCATAATTCTTTTATCTTATGCTACTTATGTTATTTTTAGTGGTTACCTCAACATCAAGCACAGGTAACATCTGCAAATGAGCTTTAACAGAGCTTTAATCAAAAATATATTTTTGAATGTCATTTATTTTTACATAATAATATTATTTGTTACCTTTAGCAAAATCCCAAGATACCCAAACTGGTATGAATATGTATAAGACTTATTAAAAATTTAACATATGCAATTTTTAGTGGTTGCTTCAGCATCAAACATAGGTAAGGTAACTTTTGAATAGTTAAAATTCACCTATGTTCAAAATATTTTTATGCTCCTTTTCTAAATCTATTATAACTTTTTGTATTTTATCTGTAGTAAGCGTAAGTGATGGAACAGCGTCAACAGACAACAGTGGTGAGCGTATACATTGTTTCTTGCAAAAGTATATAAAATAATATTTTCTCAAGACTATTTTTCATTTTTATTTTAAAACACAAACTTGTATTATGCTTTCAGAACTAACACATGAACGCTACATGGAATATAGAAGGCAGCACTCGGGCTCCTACTCACATTATTCCTATCTTGTGTGGGTGGAGCATGGAGGTCACGATCGGCAAGACTATTATTGGAACCGTGATTCTCCATACCCGAGTGCTGCCTACAGAAGTAGGAGACGAGGTGGCCGTGGAAAACGGGGAAATGTGTTTCATTACAATGTCTATAATTAGTGTAAAAATTTCCTGCAAATGGTAGCATTTACGTTACACTGAAAGTTATTTACAGGTACTATTTACACTAATTATAGACAATGTAATGTTTGTTTTTTTGTTTGTTTTTTTTTAAATTTTAAACATAGTACAATAATTTTGTTTTATTTATAATTGCTTCAATGGCTTTTTACAAAAAAGTTTATAAAAAAATTTTCATTTATTTACCCGCGGCTCAGTAGTTTTTATAATACTTTTAATTGTTGCTCGTTTCAAACTACTAATACTAACACAAAACAATGTTCGAAATGCAGTTCTGGTAATTTTAATGCAATAAATTTTTTCTTAATTTAAAAATTGTCTACTGTGTTATATGTTTAATTTTTTGGATAATAACTTTGTTGTATGTATATTGATATAGCTGTTGGTTAAGTTACATAATATATTACATGATACCATTTTTAGTTTAAAATGTAATATTTCTTCTTGTATAGTTTTCTCTTTAGATTTTTTTAATATTAAACTAATATATCTCATGCTTATTACTTAATATGGAAATCTTTTGACTTGCAAAATTTGTACCACAGTTGTTCTAAGTGGCAACAGGTACCGTTATTGTAAGTGTCTGAGTGAGCGGTAAGGATCAATAAACTTTTTTTTGTGTCTTACATATTTAAAACAAAAACTTTTTAAATAATTTTTTTGGTTTCTTTTACATTCATAAATTCATTAAGAAACTCATTAGTTGCAACTAATTTATGCTTTAATGGTATAATGGGTAGACACGTATTTAAAGGAGAATTTAAAAAACATTTACTTAGTAATTTTATGTTGCCATCTAACACAAATATAAGGTGCCTGAATGGACACGTTTTGTTTCTCTATACTAGCAATGATGAGTTGTTTACCAAAACAGTAGCAAAAGTCAATGACCATTTTAACTTGAATATTTGCTCCAGTCATATCAAAAAAGTAGTGTCCATAGCCAAAAACTGGTCTAAACATTTTTAAAGGGAATATGAAAGTTGTGTTGCATTTTGTAATGAGCCTTTTATAAACCATGCACAAACGATTGCAATTTCATCGCAGCTTACCTAAGTAGCACTAATTACACACTATCACATTCTTCTTTCATCATTATCAGAACACACCAGTGTCACATCTCTGATGAGTGATGAACCTTCATGTTCTGTTGGCCATAAAGCAAATTTTACAACTAGGCAGACTTCAATAGAAAAATTGAGTCCTACGCAGAAAAAATTAACTAACACTTGTCTCATTTGTCTTCTAGATTAACAATATCTTCCATAGCAAATCGTAAGAAGATAGCTTCAATTAAAGCAAAATTATCCAGCCTGCCATATAAATTAAAAGTTTTAAGGCAATGTGTTATAAGAAAAGAAGATATTATAAAAGCTTTAAGAGCTCAGGTTAGAGACTTAAAACATAAAAACCAAACATATTATTACAGCAGGCAAATTTGCAATCTTGTTGCATCAAAAAAAGCAATAAAAATCAAAGAGAGAGAAAAGTTTAGAAAGTTAGCTCTCAAACATAATGCTGCGATTAGAAAAAATAAAACAGATATTACTAGCTTAGAAGATAGTTTGACCCAAATGGATGAGGACAAGATAAGTATTACAAATTCAACTGTTTGTAAAAGCTATCCATTAAAAACGAGAATGATAATATACTGCATGTTATTGTGTAATGTCCCAACAAGTAACATTCCATTTCTAGTAGACAAAATGGGGCAATATTTCAGTATTATTTTTTCTCACATTCCTTGCCGTAGTACTATTGAGCAAATGGCTCGTGAGCTTGGCAGTATTGCTGATCTAAAGGCAGCTGAATGGATCATTAGTAATACTCATCTTACTCTTGGGTTTGACGCAACTACACAAGAAGGTGTTCATATCAACAGTATTCACTTAACTTCAAATGATAAATGCCAGGTAATTGCTGTTGATCAATTGCCAAGTGGGACAGCTGTGGATTATGCGAACCATATGTAACGAAGTGGATCATATAGCTTTAGTATATTCCAACATTCACTTGAAACCCTTTGAAGATTGTCGTCGTATGGTCATCTCAAATATTTCAAACACAATGTCGGACATCTGTTAATCATCTTACAATAAGAAAAATTTGTGAAACTTGGGGTAAAAGTCTGAATGAATTAAACTGTCATTTGCACCCTCTTGACACAATTGCCACATCGTGTCGTTCAGCTTTAAAGTCTCTAGAGCTCGAAAGCTGCGAATTATATGGAAATGATTGTATAGCTGCAAAAATTGTTTTGGCTATGAATAAGATGAGGTTCAAAGATGGCAAAGGTGACCCAAAGGGATTTGTTAATTTTTAAGACAATAATAAACTACCACGAGGTATCATTCCAAGGTATCGTGGAAATCGCCTTCACATTCTGTTCCACACTTGTTTTATTTTTATAAAACATTATAGCAAATTTTTACATGTTTTAACTATAGGAACAGTAAAAATAAAAACTTTACAAAGGGTTCTGCGAGTAGCATTTTGTAATACAACTGCTATAAAGCAAATGTGTCTACTTGCTTTATTTGGAAAACTTCTTACAGGGCCGTGGATGACAATGTTTTATGTGTCATCTGAGAAAGCATATTTTGATCATGTTGGTGGTATCCAGATTATTAAAAATGTTGTGCAAACAATTAAAGACTGCAAATGCGATCCAGCTGCAATATTTTGCAGAACAACAGATTTTTTTGGAAATGCTCTCAAAGCAAATGTGTAAGAACCAATAACAAAAATATGCATAATTGATGACGAGCTCATTGCCATGATCTTGGCTTGCCTCAATGCAATAGAAGTGGTTTTAAATCGACAGTATGAACGCTATTTTTCCATTACCATTACAGAAGCACTTGAAAAAGAAACAGCTAGTGCAAGACTTCATAACATAGATAGTGAAGAATTAATGGGAATGTTCAGTGCTGCAAAAGGAAGGTCTCCTTATGCATCTATTGATTATATATCTTGCAAATTACGAACCAAAAAGAATGGGACAATGGCTTATCTGGATAATCTTGATGACTTTTCTAGAAAAATGGTAGTTCAGTGGTCTATGCAGGCAGCACGTAGAAAACGAATAAAAACTCGACTACAACATTCTGAAATTAGAGCTGAGATTTCTAAAAGACAGACTATAAAACGCCAAAAAATCGATGAAAAAGAAAAAAGAAAGTTAGAGCAAAAAGTTAGAGAAAAAAGAAAGTTAGAAAGTTAGAGTTTCTAACTTCCTAGATCTGATGTGCTCTTTCTCCCTCTTCCCATTAATAACTCAACCAACCAGAATTACTCCAAAATCAAAGACACTCATAGATAATATATTTGTAAACTTTAAAACTCTAAACACTAAATCAGGCAACCTAACAGTATCCCTTGCTGACCATCTTATTCAGTTCATATCCTTGCCATGCAAGAACTTAAAACAGTCTTCTCCTAAAATATACCGACGATGTTTTAAAAATTTTGATGATAAGAAATTTCTTAAAGACCTTAAGAAAACAGATTGGCTTTTAATAAATCAAAATGAGAACTATGATGTTAATAACTCTACTTCTAAGTTTTTGGATATAGTTAAAAGGTTACTTGATAAGCATGCCCCTTTTAAAATGTTCACCAAAAAAGCTACTAAATCTTTATCAAAGCCATGGATTACTAATGGAATCATTACATCCATAAAAATTAAAAATAAATTGCACAATAAATATATAAAATGTAAAAATGAGAACTTAAAAGTAAAATACTTTCAAAAATGTAAATATTATAGAAATCAAATTAGTAATCTACTGCGATACTCAAAAAAAACATAATACTCAACCTACTTCAATCAAAATTTAAATAACCTTAAAAACACCTGGAAAGGAATAAAGAGTATTATTTCTATTAAATCAAAGAACAGCAATAATATAGATAGTTTAAATATCAATAATAAAACTATAATTAATAAAAAAATAATTTCAAATGCATTAAACGATTACTTTTCTTCAATAGCAGATAATCTTGCTAAAAAAATTATACCCCCTAGATTTGACTTCAGCCACTACCTAAAAAACAAAAATCCTAATTCTCTTTTTATATCCCCAGTTACTTCTCAAGAAATAAATGACTATATCTCTCTCATAAATCCAAAAAAAAGCACTGGACCCAATAGCATTCCTTCCAAAATTATGATCTTAGCATCTCAAGAGTTAACCTTTCCCTTGAGCTTTTTAATTAATCAATCTTTTCAATCTGGAATATTCCCTGACTTATTTAAAATTGCTGAAGTTGTCCCAATTTTTAAAGGCGGCTCTAAACAAGATCTTTGTAACTTTCGGCTTATATCCTTGCTTTCAAATATAGGCAAATTAATTGAAAAACTTATGTATAATAGGTTAATCAGTTTTCTAAATTTATCAAATAGCTTATATAGTCTCCAATTCGGATTCCGAAAGAATCACTCAACAAACCAAGCCTCATAGATATAACGGTTACCATACGTGAAGCTTTGGACCAAAAACAGTTTGCTGGTGGAGTGTTCGTTGATCTGCAAAAAGCATTTGATACTGTTGACCATGAAATTCTATTATCAAAGCTCTATCATTATGGTGTGAGGGGTATCGCTCTGAACTGGTTTAAGTCATATCTAAACCATCGTACACAAACGGTTACTATTAGTAATACCTCTTCCTCTATTAAGTTCATGTCTATAGGTATTCCTCAGGGTTCAACTCTGGGTCCCCTCCTTTTTCTCATTTATATATAAATGATTTAAACATGTGTGTTAAATACTCAAAAAATGTATCATTTTGCTGATGACACCAACCTCCTAATAGTAAAGAAATCTTTGAAAAAACTTAATAAATACCTAAATTATGACCTGACATCACTGGTTCAATGGTTGCAATCAAACAAAAAATCTTTAAACGCCAAAAAAACTGAATTAGTTTTATTTAAACCTGTAGGCAAAAAAATTACTAAAAAACTTAATTTTAGAATTAGTGGACTAAAGCTAAATATTGTTGATAAAATAAAATATTTAGGCATATTATTGGATGAGAATCATTTGTTCATGCAACAAATCAAATTCATATCAAGCAAACTGAGCAGTGCAAATGGAATGCTTACCAAAATAAGGCATTTTGTGAATTATGAAACTCTCTTAAATATTTGGCATGCAATTTTCAATTCCCATCTTCGCTATGGCTGCCAAATATGGGGTCAAAGCTCATCCATTTATATAAAAAATCTTATAAATCTTCAAAATAAATCATAGAAAATAATTCACTTGCAACCTAACAGTTTTAGTTCTGACATACTATACAATCTTTCTAAAATTTTGAAGCTGGGGCCAATGCTATAAACATAAAAAACGAAGTTTTTCCCGTAAAACACGAAGTTTTTCCCGGAAAAAACAAAGAAAAAAAAAGTCCATTGCTATAAACATTTAAAAGTTTGCGTTTTTAAGATAAAAACTTCGCTATATAATCCAATGTTATAAACGAACAAGGGAATCGCTTTTTCAGATAAAAAATGCGTTTTTTCGAAAAAAAACTTCAGATAGATTTTTGATCTCAATATTAGATATTTCTTCGTGATTTTTAGCGCCATTCTTATAACAACGTAAGCAATTCAGAATCATTTAACATTATTTATTTGTGTTTATATGTGGATATTTTTAGATAAAACTGAAAAGCATTTTGGTAACTCCATAATAAACTAATTACTTATAAATTACATTAAATCGATATTTCAGTACCGCCTTGTGTGTCGTTAACAATGCATGCATTTATTTAACATTCCATACTTTTTTATGTAGGCTTTCGATAGTAATTTTGGTTAACCACATTTTTCACAATGTTTGACTGAAGAAATGTATAAATAGTCGACAAATAATCTATATAATGCACAAATACACAACAAGATAAAATGCTGTCTAAAGAACTTAAAATGTTACTAGCAATGAAGATCAGAGATAACAAAGAGGTTCTTCTTGGGAAACTTAGTATGTTTTAATTAGCAAACTGTTTAAATAAAAATTTGTATAAATGTATTATGTTATATTTTATATATATATATTTATATATATATATATATATATATATATATATATATATATATATATATAAATATATATATTTATATATATATATATATTTATATACAGATATATATGGATATATATATATATTTATATATATATATATATATATATATATATATATATATATATATATATATATATATATATATATATATATATGTATATATATATACAAATGCATGTATAGGTATATATATAGATATGTATGTATACATATATATATATATATATATATATATATATATATATATAAATATATATATATATATCTATATATATACATACATATATATATATATTTATATTTATATATATATATATATATATATATATATATATATATATATATATATATATATATATACATACATAAATATATATATATATATATATATATTTATGTATATGTATATATATATTTATATGTATATATATATATATATATGAATATATATGTATGTATATATATATATATATATATATATAAATATATATATATATATATATACATACATATATATATATATACACATATATATACATATATATATATATATATATATATATATATCATATTTATTATTTTACTATATAAAATGTATTGACTATTTATAATTTATTGATATTTTTCTTTCAATTTTAGGTCCATGTGTTACTATGAGGCATAGAAATGGAATTTGGGAAGAAATACTGTCAAGTTTAAATTGTCTAGGGGCTAAAATTGAAGATATTAACCAGCTACGTAGTAGAGAGTGGGATTATTTACGACGAGCCACAATACAAAAATTTGCTAAAAGTCTAAAAACAGGTTTAGTTTTATTATATATATATAAATATATATATATATATATATATTTTAACAACAATTATAAATGTATTATATAAAATAGAGTGCTCAATGTTCTTAAAATAATCACATATGTAATTAAATATTTTTGTATATATATTTGTATATAAAATTTACAAATATATGTAGATGTATATATATTTTTTAAGGTGCTGCAGGAAGACAACTTACAGAGTTAGATAATGTTGTTTTAGACATTGTTGACAGGAAGTCTATAAATGTATCTGGAATTGATGTTCCAGATTTTAATATCTCTTTTTGTACAAAAGATGATGCTTTGTCATCTACTACCAACCAACTTTCCAGTTCCACAGCCATCTTTTCCCCATCAAGTAAAGAAGTAAACTTTACTTTGAAACAATCTTCTGATACAGCTTCTTTGTCTGGTATATCTTTATTTTTTGGTTGACTAGTGGTGTTATAAGATTTTATATATATATATATATATATATATATATATATATATATATATATATATATATATATATATATATATATATATATATATATATACAAATTAATTATTTATTTTGGATACACGATTTGATCGTATGTCCTCCTCCTCCCCTCATTTAGACAATACCACTCTTGTTGGTGATAGTCGTCCAATGCTTCAAGGTAATACAATTTCTAGTTGTTTTTTTTTCACAATTTGTGCCAAATTATTTTACATCACATCAAAAACTGCTTATTTTTAAAGGAATCTAAACCATCTTTTTTATTATTTAAATTAACTGATCTGGTTTTGACACCTATAATTCAATTTTTAGATTCAACTCAAAATAAACCATCAATAGCGACATTAAAAAATTTAAAAAGAAAACAAGCTCGAGAAAGTCTCTTGGTAGATGGAAATTTCAAAAAATTGAAAGTTAGTGTTTTAGGGTTAGAAAAAGAAAGATTAGAAAAGGAACAAGAATTAAGAATTAAACTTTTGAAATTGGACGTTGCTCACAGACAACAGCAAATTCGAAAAGAAAAAGCTTTAACAATATATTACACAACAGCAACAAAGCTAATGAATGACAAATTGCAACCTTTAAACCAGCAACATTTTAAAAATATAGAAACGGTATTTTAAAATTAATTTATTGTAGTATTTAGTATCAAACTTTATAATTAATAAATTTTATAAATTATTTTTGTTGTTTTAGGAGGAAATTCTAGAGCATTAAGGGAAGAGCTATATCGTAATTTTATGTTAATTTTCGAAAGATATTGTATAACTATATTTAAACATTTACTTTGAAGGTATTTAACTGTAGATTTTTTTAAAGAAAATAAAAAAATAACTCCAACAATTGTTATTGTATTTATTATTTATCACCATTGCCTTACAGTAATAAATTCTGTAAAAACTGCATTAAAACCAATGCTGTTGCGATGTGAAATAGATACAAGCATTACAACTATACCACTACCGCATTTAAATAGCGAGTTCAATTTATGGTATCGCATTGGCTAGTAAACGATTTTATAATTTAAAGAAAGTAGTTCTAATAACTTTTACCTTTACCTCTAAATTCCCTTTCTCAACCCTTTTTTTCGAGTACTCAGCACTCAACTTAAGAATATTGTATGTATATACCAGATATTTGGTACAATATCTTTCATATTTTAAATTTAATTTATATTTTAGTTTAATATTAATTCGATCGTTTATCTTAATATTATGCTGTTAAGCAATTTTTATCTTTTTAAAATACTCTTAATAAGAATTGCTCTTAACAACAAAAACTAACAAACCTATTATTTTTTTAAGCTTGTTCTATAAAAAAACAAAATACAAATACTAAAAAACAATTATAAAATGCTTTTATGATCTAATTTTTATAAAATATCTTGCATTTGACAAAAGTTTTTTTAAATAATATTTTTAAGTAAAGTTGTAAAGTAGCTGTAATCGTCTATTCAAAGCGATATCATTCTGATTTTCTTGAAATATATTTTCATCAACTTGTTCTTCTATGCGTTCTTCAAAGTCATTACCGTTGTCTCCATGTCGAATACACAAGTTATGGATAACAAATCCACACATGATGAGCTTAGAGGCATCTTCGACCTTGTGCAAACGAATTCCCGTTTTCAAAGCATAAAACCTGTTTTTTATAATGCCAAAACACCGCTCGATTATGTTTCTAGTTTTTCTCTGTGCTATGTTGAAACGTTTTTGAGCTCTGCCTAGATCACTAGGAAAAGGTGGAATTAACCATTCTCGGCATGGGTAGGCAGAGTCAGCCAAAATTACAGCTCCATTAAATGGAAGCTCTCCAATTTCAAACTTGTTCCATAGGTTACAATTTCTTAGAACCTAATAGTGGTAAAATCACAATATTTAAATTTACTCTAAGTTACATTAAAATACATATCAGTCTTAGTTTTATTAGTCTTAATTAGCAATAATAGTTCGAATAGTATGTTTAAATATGAATATACCGAAGTACGTACTAGTTGAATAGCCAGCATTAGTGCACTAGCAGATGTAAAATATAATTTATTAAAAGACTTACGTGTGCATCATGCCACCTTCCTGGACTGTTGGTTGATGCATAAAATATGGATGTGTCGGGTCCACATACAGCCATTGCATTTATGCTATGGACATGATGGCGATTGATTAGAGAATCTTCGTCTGCGTTAGGAGGGTTAGAAATGAGTATATGAGACCCATCCAGGACACCACATACGCTAGGAAAACCTCCAATTTCCATAAACTTTTGTGGAAGAGTGGAGCAATCATTGGGCCATTTTATGATCTCTTGTCGAATCTAAATTGAAAAGATATCAACTTTTACCTTTACTCAACTTAGTTTATAATTTACCTACCAAAATAAAAGTAATAAGAAACTTTATATGACAACGTATAAATTTCACTTGTTTTATTAACTTAATACACATTACATTGAAAATAGCTTCTCCTACACTGTGTATAATACGATAAACTGTGTTGGTAGAGATTCCATGACAGTCTCTGAGAACATGAAAAAAAACATTTGTGCCGATAAAATGAAGAAATACCATTATCTGGAAACGTACTGAAATACTTTTATTTCGCTTAGTGTAATGTTGCAAATCATCTTTAAGCCTAGTTTCTAAAAAATCTAATACAGCTCTTGGGACTCGATACTGCTCTCGAAAAACGTTGTCAGAAACATCTTCGTTAAAAAAGCGACCAATAAACTAAAATGGAATAGAAAAACAAAACAAAAATATTATTTCTGCGTACATTTAGTATGTTTTCTAATTTAGTTAAATAAACATCGAAATTTGTCAATTTTAAGTAATGTTTTAAACACCAACCTCTCGAGGCAATCGGTGGCGAAGCTCATTTTCTGCAATTTCCAAATCTAAGTCTTCATCCGAAAAAACTAAATCTATGTTCATATTATAATTTTACACAGTTCTTTTAAACACCAAATAGTAGAATGTACAAAAATTTATAGAAGAGGAATAGACAGCACAGCCTACTTAATAACTAATAAAAATTATTAAATAGGCAACGCATAATAGTAATTAAAAAAAATTGTTGTTATCAATGACGTTTACGGATAAATTAAAATTGTGAATTTAAGTGACGTATACGTTTTATACTCTATAGCATTGGCCGAATAAATTCTTCGTGTTTACGTCTTTTTTTACGTAAAAATAATTTACACAAAATATTGCGTTTTTAAGATAGATTTTTTTTCTCGAAAAAAACTTCGAATTATTTATAGCATTGGCCCCTGGAAGAGTTAATCTATTTATCAAACTGTGTACTTGTATGGGACACTATACACAATAACATGCCCAGCTGTTTCAATAGCTATTTTAAGTTCACAGGTGATATCCATAACCATAAACTTAGATCTGTATCTTATTGTAGTCTCTCTATGCCTTTAAAGCAAACACATAAATATGGCATTAGGTCAATCAAATATCAATCAATCCACAGTTGGAATTCTCTTCCTTTTGAAACTAAAAAAAATATTCTCTAAAATAACAAATAGAAATGCCTTTATAACCCAGATAAAAAAGATTACTTTTAATAAAAATAATCAATGAGCTATTTTCTATTGCTCCTTTTAGTTCACTGTAATTAATTATTTCTTTTTCTTATAAATAAAAATAAAAATAAAACTCAGAAAGTAAAAATAAAAATACAAAACTCAGAAAATAGAAATAAAAATATAAAACTCAAAAAATAGGAATAAAAATATAAAACTCAAAAGTAATAATAAAAATATAAAACACACAAAATAAAAATAAAAATATAAAACTAATAAAATAAAAAAAAAAAACTTTAAAAAATAAAACATAAGTATATATATGTACATGTAATATATATATGTATGTGTATGTAGCTATGTGTATGCATGTGTTTATATATGAATATATTTATGCATGCATATGTATGTATGCATGTGTGTATGTGTATGTATAAATGTATGAATGTATGTGTATATGTATGTATGTATGTATGTATGTATGTATGTATGTATGTATGTGAGTGTGTGTTTATGTGTGTATATGTGTGTATGTATGTAAGTATGTATATATGTATGTATGTACACTGTGTCAAAAAAGTTTTCATCCACCTATCTTGCACATTTTAAAAATGCAATAACTTTTTATTCAGCAAAGATGCAAGCATGATATAAACTAAATTATATCATTTAAACATTTAAGAAATATTGTACAAAAAAAGTTTTTTAAAGTAATGAGTTACAAATAAAATACAGCATTTTGGAATAAAAGATAGACATCTTTGTCTCAATAAAGTTTTCATCCACTTTACAAAAATCAAATAAAATTGTCATACGAACTCAATTTATTAGTGTTTTAATAACTTTTGTTTCCACCACGAGCTTTTATTATTTCGTGTAGTCTGTTTTTCATTGAACAAACTAATTTTTTAGTAATTTCTGGAGTGATTAAGCCCCACTCTTTCATAATTACTAATTGGAGTTGTTGTTGATTCCTCACATCGTGGGTCCTAATTCTTCTACCCAATTCATCCCACAGATGTTCAATAGGATTCAAATCTGGAGATTGTGGGGGTGTATGAGGTTGCTTAGCTATTTTAAATATAAGCCATTCCTTGACACGTTTGGCAGTATGTTTTGGATCGTTATCTTGTTGAAAAGTAAATGACCTAGTAAGTCCCAATTTGTGGGCACTTTCTTCCAGATTATTTTTTAGAATGTTTAAATACACATTTCCATCAATGAAAACCAAGTTTCCTACACCTGAAGCACTCATACACCCCCACACTAAAACACTTCCTCCGCCATGCTTCACCGTTGGACACAAGTTTTGTTTTTTAAATGCTTCATTTGGTTTTCTCCAAACTTTAATTCTTCCATCTGATGAAAACACATTAAATTTTGATTCATCGCTGAAAAGGACTGATTCCCAGAATGTTTGTGGTTCATTGATATAAAGTTTTGCAAAGTGTAGTCGTTTGGCTTTGTTGACTTTGCTGATATAGGGCTTTTTCAATGGTACTCTACCATTGTATCCAGCTCTTCTTAAGGTTATTCTAACAGTTTCAGGGTCCACTTTTAAATTGTAATCATTTTGCAGCATTCCAGCGAGTTTTGGAGCACTTATTTTAGGATTCTGGATGACTGTTCTTAATATAGCTCGTCGATGCAATACTTGAATTTTATTTGGACGCCCTGTACGTGGCTTATCAGCAATTTTTTTGGTGGTTTGGTATTTCTTAATAATAGACTGCACAGTTGCACGTGATTTCTTTACTATTTTTCCTATATTTCGCTGTGATTTTCCCTCTTTCCATAGTCTAACAATAAGCAATCTAATTTCCTCTGCAACTCTCATTTTTATTAATAATCTAACAAAAATAAAAAATATAAAAAACTCATATAAAAAAAAAAAAAAATACAAAAATCTTACTAAATCTAATTTATATTTTAAAAATGATACTTTAATACTGATTTAATAACAAATTGAGGTTGGAGTGCAGGGTGGATGAAAACTTTTTTGGCGCAAAAACAGGCATTGTTTATGTTTAAATGTTGTATTTTAATTTCTATTCATTATTTTGTAAAATCTTTTTATACAATACTTCTTGAATGGTACTGATATAATTAAGTTGAGTAAAACTGATATAATTAAGTTGAAATTATGCTTATATCTTTGCTGAATGTAAAGTTATCACGTCTGAAAGATGTACAGGATAGGTGGATGAAAACTTTTTTGACACAGTGTATGTACGAATGTATGTATGTATGTATGCATGTATATGTATGTACATATGTATGTGTGTAGGTATGTGTATGTATAAATTTGTATGGTAGGTGTATATTTATGC